TATCTGTTCAAATGAAGAATCTTGAAAAAAAAAGTAGCTTTTTTAAAAAAAAGAAGATCTCAATTTACAAATCATATATGAAAGATAAAACTTTGGATATTTTTATGAAAAGTGAAATATGTTAATGAAAATGATCCCAAACAATATTGACCATTCTTTAAAGGAAAAAAATGCTTTATCTACACATTAAAGTGGTTCAGTTAATCTTTTCTTACTATGTTTATTAAACTTTCCAGGTCTATTCAGTGACTTGGATGGTGGTAAAGCGGAGACCCTTGGAATCAAGTCCTACGGAGTTTCCATGACATCATTAGAGGAAGTCTTTATGAAGCTAGGTATTTGTTTTAAAGGCACAGCCTTTTACAACATATTTCTTTACCACTTTTCTGTAGTAGAAAATAAATGCAGGATAGTTATGTAGTGTTTTGATCTGAAGAATTTTTCATTAACATGTTTAAAGAAGGATTGCTTGAGTTTATATTGTCTAAAATGAGTCCATTATTTTTGGCATAACTCAAATTTCAATATAGCAAGCTAAACATAAATGAAAGGGGAAACAAGGAATCTCGTTTTTTTTTGGTAGTCATTTTGTTGCATTTGTACCACTGCGGGGCAGTATTAGGGGCATATGTGAATAGACAAAGCCTTTGTAAATATTGAAAAGCCATCTGTATGAATTACTGCATTTTTAGGTCACCTGAGTTTACTCAGGTGACCTATTGCTATCTGTTTTCGTCCGTTGTCGTGTGTCGTGCATTGTGCGTTAACATTTGAACATTTTCAGCTTCTTCTCTGCAACCACTGAACCAATTTCAACCAAATTTGGCACAAAGCATCTATGGGTGAAGGGGAACAAAAATTGTGAATTTCATTATCCCTGCCCCCTGGGGCCTGAGGGGTGGGGCCAAAACCACTAAAATTAATGCAATCTTTAAAAATCTTCTTCTTTACTCCTGGACATCAAGCAGTCAAACTGTTTGCATGATTGTAATCAGCAATGAGTCCTCTACCAAAACTGTGAAATTCATGGCCCTGGGGTCAGGGGTTCTAGTGCTAGGGCGGGGCTAAATAAGTAGGTAGTGTACCCGCAGTAGGTCTTTGAAAATCTTCTTCTCTGCTTCTGGGTATTAAATAAACTAACTAAGTACATAGTTAATGATGAGCAAGAGTGCTTCTACCAAAATTGTGAATTTTATGGCCCCAGGGTCAGGGGTTCTGGTGTTGGGGCGGGGCTCTATTGATTATATAGTGAAAATACATGAATTCTTTGAAAATCTTCTTCTCTGCTCCTGGTTATTAAATAAACTAACTAAGTACATAGTTATGATGAGCAAGAGTGCCTCTACCAAAATTGTGAATTTTATGGCCCCAGGGTCAGGGGTTCTTTTTTAGGGTGGGGCTCTAATGATTATATAGTAAATGCATGAATTCTTTGAACATCTTATCCTTTGCTCCCGGTTAATATGCTAATGATATAATTACATATTTAAGGCCAGGATTTATTTTATTTTCAGTTTTACAAACCCTCCGCTCAAGGTTTTGAATTTTCTGAAAAAAATTTTAAAAAATTTTTTTTTCCGATGTCAAATTTGAGTCGGGATCGAGATTTCAAATTTACGAACTTGCACTTCCAGTTTTACGATGAAACGGCGGGTAAATAAAGCTAGATCTGAGAAGATAGCTTGGTTTAGTGTAACATTCATGGATAAGAGTGCCATTCAAAACGTTTCACCTGTTCAAAGGACAAATAAAATGCTGACGACTTTGTTGCACAATGACAAGCTGGTGAGAGAGAGTTTCAAAGTAAGAGAGAGGTTTTAAACTGCCCGTGGTAGCTATCTATTGCATATTGCCAGCGACATTGTTTAGGTCTCTGTTATAGCTTACAGTCTAAGCATCATTCTTCAGAAAAGGGTTGCTTATGCATCAGATGTAATGAATAAAACTATGGGAGAAGTTAAGTCCATTTGAGGAAGAAATATTTAACAATAACCTGAAGAAATTAAAAAAAATTCAACTATTAAAAGGCAAGAATATACAAATATATACAGGCATGTAGTATCATTTGCATCAGCCAGAAAAATTATTTTACACTTAATTGAAAAAATGTTCACCCTACTCCAGTCTCCGCAATACTCCCTGTCTGTTTTATGATAGGAATTATAATTTTAGGCATCAAGTAAATTTTAGAACAATGTCTACATATTCACCAAACACATATTAAAAAAATGAAGATATATTGAAAGACTTTTAAAGAATTGATTTTGTAAAAATATATTTTGATCAACATCACAAAAATTATATAACTGGTCCAAACTGGCAGATGATGAAATAAGCAATTAAATGTTCTACTTTCCTATTTGTAAGCATTATGTTTCCAGTGGTAAGGAGCCTATTAGGATAGCATAAAAAAAGAATGTACAAATGTTAATAATTGATTTATCAAAAAAAATTTTTTATTTCCTTCTCCTTCGGGACTTTTTTATTCTCATGTTCATAACTAAACTTAAACATGAAAAAAAAGGCTGGCCTTAAAATGAAGAAAGGGGCCTCTTTCAAAATAGATAATTTCAGGGCCGCTGGGTCAGGGGTACCAGGGGGGTACTTTGACTAAAAATAAATTAATGCTTTGAAATCTGCCCTTTGATAAGCAATGGTGCCTCTTTCAAAATTTGTGAATTTCATGGCTTTTGGATTAAAACACGAACCAAATACAATCGCTGGAAAGTTGTTACATGATACTCAGGTGACCTATAAGGCCCGTGGGCCTCTTGTTATTCATGGCAATTACTGGTACATGAAATTTAAAAAATATTTTCAGAGGAAGATAACTCAACTGAGAATTTGCAAGAAATGATAGAGTCAACAATGGAAACTGAAAATGTCCACGTCCACAAGAACAGAGTTAGCCCCCTTACTGTAGCGGACGTTCAAACCACTGAAGTAAACATTGACACAGATTTACTGGACCTTGAGAAACAGACAGAAAATCTCTCCACGAGACAGTTCAAAGCTATGGTCAAAATGTGGGCACTTCTTAATTTCCGTAACAAAGCCAATTTGATTTTTGCTCTCGTTTTGCCAGTTGTTTTTGTGGTGGTAGGCATGGTAATAAATAAGACGGCAACCAATATTACAAAGGACCTCACACCTACCCCTCTTAGTCTGATGGGCTTGCCTGCTTATGCCAAGATGAGGAATATTCCATCAGGAGCACCAAATTTATTACTTCGCAATTCTGATGGTTTGTTGAATTTACTTCATGTTTTAAGTTGAGCTTAAGGTTTTGAGAGCAATTCTCTTATCTAAGTCTTTCCAGACAAGACAAATTTTGTCTGCAAGGTGAACCAGATGATTGGCCTCTGGATAAACTAGACTTCAGTGTCATCATTTTAACATTTGGCTAAGAGGTAGAGCCATATTGGGCCTTATTTGGCCCTGAGAATTTCTGAAAATTAAAAACCGCCCAGTTTAGGTTGTAAATGCAGTATTTATCACTTGGACTGTTGGTGAACACGTATCTATTAATTGTGAGGTAATTTCACATTTAGTCAATGCATTATGACGTCATAAAATGCGTCATTTTCTTTATATTCTGTAAATTCCTTTGAAAATGACCTAAAATTGAAGCGTTTTTTCAATATTTCATAGAGAGCACAACCTCTGATCCAAAATATGCCAACACATAATGAAAGACCTATATCTGAAGATCAAAAAACATGTGTTATTTTTTGGATCGTAGGCTGTGCTCATATTTTTATTCTTTGCTGAAGGTAGTCAAATACGCATATTTTCTGCAAATTTCAAGAACATTGCAATTTCTAAAAGCCTGTTTTCAAATATTTGGATTCTCAAAACGAAATTTTATTATAGAACATGAAAGCACCAAGTGTCTACTTTATTTTGATATATGAAAATGGAAAGAGGGTGATAGTTAATTAATAGATATTAGTACAGGGCCATTTTATGTATAAGATGGCTCTTGCTCTTTAACCAGCTTGACTAGAAGGAATCATGTATCTGTATCTATATGTGAGAGAGAGAGAGAAAGAGAGAGAGAATGAAAGCAATGTGCCCCAGGTGAGCATTGTGTCCTATAGGAAATTTTTGTAGTGGAATGTAAAACGTATAGATAATTTTTCCTTAAAAAGGTTAGGTGAAATGCATAGAAATGTATTCAAGCATTAATAATCCTTAATTCATATTCATTTGTTGGAACATATACTTGTAACTTATTTTGAAATGTTTCAGGTTCTCCAGCAAATGATTGGGTAAACCTTATAAATAGCACCTACTACACAGACGTGTTTGACAACACCACCAATCTGTTGAGTATAGCACCACACTATGCTGGAATGGACATCTCCAAACTTCTATACACAACCTCTGTAAGTCCCTGTCTTTTCTACTAGCTAAAAATTTGCTTTAAGCAAAAAGAGAAAAAAATTCAGGTGTCATAAAATTATCTGTATTTGATAAGTGTTATTGTAGTAAAAAAATTCTTGTATCTTTTGTTCTAGTAGCAATAATGTAGCCCTCTCCCCCTTGTCTTTGGGGGTGGGGGCTCTAGAAGAACATATCAGATTAAAAAAAATTGGAGAGGGTTACATTATTGCAGCTACTTTTGTGTTGTCTACATACTGTAAAACGAGAAAATTTGGCGCATAAGTATTTTAGCGCAAACGCAAGTGGGAATGCATTGGCGCAAATAAATTTTAGCACTTGCACTTGTCATTTAAATATGATATTTTGTTGTTTTTTTTAATCCACACTGTGTTTGACTTTTTGGTTAATTAAGCACGGAAACACAATCGCACTCCTGTATATAAGTAAACATTTGTCAACTTTACCTTGGTGTTGCAATAACATGGACGTGGCACATTGTTATAATCTATTTCATTTTTATTTTAAATAAAAGAAATATAGGATTTATGCATTTAATTCTTATTAAAACAATGCATGCGTCGAAAGAAAGTTACTTGGATAAACGGTAATCATAATCAGTCTGCAAGCTCAATCGCCATGCTTGATTGCATTTTTTACCTCGAGGCGATAGATGATTGACATGCCGAGAAGCCAAACTTTGAAAGTGTTAATGATAAGAATTGGGTAACAACTACCAGGGTAACAATAGTTTAATTAAATCATAACTTGGCAGAACTTTTTGTCTTCTTACCATGTGCAGTGCCAGTGTGTATATAAAATCCAACGACCCTTCGACATTATGTAATCGCGCGTTCCGGTTTACATGTACTTAGGTAAAAAGACTCATGTAAAAGCTTTGAAATATTTCGAATTCGAAATCCGTTAGCGCACAATAAATTTTAGCGTTCAGGGGATCTTGCGCCAAAGGCGCTAAAATTAGTAGTGCGCCATATATTCTCGTTTTACAGTATGGATGCATAAAGAGGCTCAGTTATATGTTTCTCGATGAGAAGTTTTATTATGGTTTACCAAGAAATGTGCACTGTGTACAAATTTGTTGCTTTTGACAAACTGAATATGTTTTGTGTCCTTGTTTGGCTTAATTAGATAACTGTTCCCTTCTTATTTTACATGTATTTCTTCTTTTTGCAGTTTGCCAGTGCCTTTTCCATCTTCTACAATGCCACTGCTCCACACAGTATACCCATGATTCTCAATGCCCTGTCCAATTCCTTATTCAGCCTGCAGGCCAACAAATCAGGTGTGGCCACCACATCATTTATTTCTGCCACTAATCTCCCCTGGACGGGAAAAGAGGACAACAACCGATACAACCAGGGGGCGTTCTCCTCCATTATTCTGATTGGCATGGCATTCATTTCTGTAGCACCTACATTCTCAGTATACATGGTCAAAGATAGAGAGGTATGTTTATATGAAATACTCTTAGAGCTTCACTTTCTCAAACTTGATGAAGCCTAGAAAAAAACTAAGAGATAATAGTCTGATAATCTTATAATTAATATGTCTCTAGTGTAAGAAAATTTGTTATTCATGAACAGCTTGGTGACATTTTTAAAAAGCATTAAATACAGACATCTTTATAGAGTGAATTCAAAATAAATCATGACTTTACAGTACTCTAGCATGCTAGAGGTTTAATTTAAGATACTTTGAACTTGGCACCTTGTCCAAGGTATATAAGGAGCATAGGGATGTTAACTGAGGCTCTTACTTGTAGGGGCAGGCTTTGAGGCTTTGCTGGAGCCACAAGGGTCAGAATTCTGTGTAGACAAAAATATGAGGAAATATGTTTATAAAATTTTTTTAAAGAACGGTAGATGATAAGTGGAGAAATCAATAGATTATCACTAGTTTTGAAGCATTTGATAAGGCTTTGGAATTAAATGAGAAATTTTTATTTGTAGACGAAATTCCGGACCCAGTTGCGATCTGCAGGGGTCAGCTTCTGGATGTATTGGGGTACTCATCTGTGTGTTGACCTAATTAAATACAGCTTCCCAGGAATCCTGTGTGTTATAGTGGTCCTCATTATGCAGGTATGGTAAAAAAAATGAAAAATCTTTTACACTTTTAGTAATAACACCAAAATGTGCACAATTTGTCCTTTCTTGTGCCGGAAACGTCTTTATTATATCAGCTAGAGTTTTTTTTAATGAAGATTTTTGGCAAAATATGATTTTTTTTTCCAACATTCAGACAAAATGTTGCCCTTAGCTCTTGTCCTCAGGCAACAAATCTCTTCAGGTCAAATATATCATAATTTAATTCTGGTTGTAATGCTGTATTTGATTGGATAAAAAATTTACTTTATATCGTATAAAATGGGTTGCCTACGTCACAGTGACTTGCGTCAAAAACGTATCAATCCGCCTGACGTTACATTCAAATTTTGTACAAACTAAAGTCATTTTGTTAGAACAATCATCTTTTTTTCTTACATCAAATGAATGAAAATTAAATTATAAGCAATGAATTTAATAGCTACCCATTTTATACGGTAATAACTGGGTTAGAACAGTTTACGCTTTTTTTATAAACCGCGAAGCGGTTTATAAAGCATAAACTGCCCCAACCCAGTTTATACCGTATAAAATGGGTAGCTATTAAATTCATTCCTTAAATAAATTGCCCTTCTACTAGGTCTATATCACCTTAACTTCTGTATATAAAGTATTTCTTTTGGTGAAATTCCTTATGTGCTGCCTAAAGTTTCTATTTTATATGTACAGTCAGAACTTGTTATCTCAAACTTAGTGGGAGTGTGAAAGTACAATCATTTATTAGATGTCTGAGGATTTTAGATGCATGTACAGTATAATTTGTCCAAACCGGCTACCGCCGGTTCCATAAAATTTGGCCGGTTTAGACAGAATCCGGAGTGCAGGAAAAATGCAGCAAAATATACGTTTTGAAAATTTCGTTGTTTATTTACAAGTTCATCTTTATACATAATATAAAATATAATTAAATGATGAAATCGATCAATATTATGGAGTCTAGAAATTTTAAGATAGTCTCTTATGACTTACTGTATTTTCTTCAATTCTTGTTTGTTCACGAAGTCGGGTGAAATGTTACCTAAATCAAAATCTACAGGCACGCATAATATAGGCCTACTATAGTTCAAGCAGACCAGGTTTCGCTTGTCAAAGAGCTCATTTAATGTAAAAACAGTAATGCACAATTATTTACGATGTGCTAATTATTAGATTGAATTTTTAATTTTTATGTAAAAAATTACGTCTTCCCCCACAGTGTTATGGCGCCATTTTGAAATGCGTTCGATTTTCGATCCCGATTTATATATTGATTTGTAAATCGCGTACATATTTATTTTTTGTATTTATGTTATAATGTCGTAAAAGGAGTTAAAACAAGATTAATATTTTTCTAAATTGTAGTTCAAACATATACTAGTAATTTTTTTTTCAACTGGGCAGTGTCATCGCCGCATTTCACTGAGTTCGTCTCATGGCACTGCTAATGTAAACACAGATTATCAAATCCACCACGAAAGGTGTTAATTGCTTTGAAGTAACGCAGGTGTGGCCGGATTAGAGGAAATAATTACAGTTAATTATGAGCAGTTGGGACCAGTATGGCCGTTCGGAATACAGAATAGACAGTATCCGGACTACACAGAATTTTTTCTAATGAATTTGTTAAAGAAGTGCATGGGACTAAAATTTATAGACGGAATGGACAAAAGTCCGGAGTACTCAGAGTCCGGATTAGACAAATTTTACTGTACTTCAAAAACAAATGGTTGGGTCTACCAAATCTGACAAATCCATGATATTTGAGATATCAATGTTCAATATGCTTAGATTTAACTGTATATACTAATTGTAGTAACTATGCACTCAGCAGATTAATATTTGTTGACTTTTCTGTATCATTTTTTCCAGCTGGACAGTCTCAGCAGTGCTGGTGCAGTGGGATCCCTGATTCTTCTTGTCCTATTCTACATTCCTTCAGCGACTATGTTTGCATATTTGGCTTCTTATATGTTTGACAAAGCTGTGACCTGTCAGCAATTTATTGTAACAATATTTATATTTGTAAGTACATGTTTCACTTATTGTAACAATAAATTGTTTTTGTTTTACCTTAAAGATAAAGATGAGTGATTAATTCTATTATCCTATCATACAGTTACTGGTAGGATGATATTTATCATCAAAACAGATTGACGGCCGAAAAATTATCCATATTTTTTTTATATTTTAGCTTGGCCTGTTGCCCTATTCAGCAGTTTCTGTGTTGGACATGTTAGCTGAACAGGATATTGCCAGGATTCTACATATTGTATTCTGTTTGATTGATCCCCCCTACATTATATTCGGGGGAATGTACTACATTGATAAGGTAGGATTAAGTTCTGATCTTCATTGATCAAAAAAAAAGTAAATTTAGTAATGTACTACTTTTATAAAGTGAGATTAAGTACTGTACTACATTGATAAAGTAAGACTTGGCTTTTAAATACATGTATGTTGTGAATTAGATTGAAACCACTCCTACAATTTGCCTTTTCTCCTGATTAATATTCAGTAAAGCTCATTTTTTGTTGTTTTGTAGATTTACAGAGTTAATGTCTTCTATTCCCTGGGCACTGTGGAGGATTCAGATTACTTCAAATTAGAAAATAACATCGTCTACACCTACATTATTGTAAGTTTTCAATTTTGTGGTATTTAGATTTTGTAGTAGGAGAGACACAAATTCATGTCCAACAGAAAATGTAAATTTCAAAGGCATACCGGTATACTCAAAACTTTTAAAACAGTAAATTAAAGAGGAACAGGACCTTTAGCTAAAAAATTCCTGTCAATGAATTTTTTTCGTATTTTTTATATTACTAATTTGATATGTACTTAACATTTTAAAATGGTCCTGTCATGGGATTTCTTGACTTATTTAAAAATATGCCCCACAAATACCGCCCTGTTTAGAGTTTGTATGGAATTTAGATACTTCATGTTTACGGGCCCATAACGGAGTCCATAATGTGAATTTTTACGCACAGACGATAAAAATGGTAGATAATGCTATTTACTCAAATATTTCAGAATATTCATAGTGTTCAAATAATCTGAAAGCAATTGTTTTAATTTTATATAGTATTTGGGTGGGATAATTTCTGCATTTTTCAAGGCAGCTTCAACGACAAAAACCTCATTTGGAAAAAATTCTGTCAATAAATATTTCTAAATTTACGATTGAATGTCAGTCCTTCATCGTAATTATTTACTGCATAAATATCACAGGGTGAAGCTTACCTCAATATCACACAGGACATCGTTGAATTAGACGTAAGCATGATAAAAACGCTTCACGTCTGTATTTTCCGAGTGCGGGAAATCAATTGTGACGTCACACGAAAACATAAACATTCAAAATTATCTAAATAGAGAGAATCTCTGCTTCTAAACACGAAAAAATATTGATTAAAAAAATCTGCTTCAGAAATTTATCACGATACATTGACTGTGACCCGTTTGTTATGAAATAAAACTGATCATGACGGGTGTGTGTACTTGATCTCGCTGCACTGAGAATTCAAACACTACGTCTATGACGTCATTGACGTCAGACTGCAGGGTAAAGAGAAACAAAAGTGTGGATTGGGCAACTTCACAATATCTATATGATGGCAAGATCTTTAAAAATTTTATTGATAATAATTTCTAAAATTAAATGTTTAAAAAACAATTTTAGAATTTAGAATAAAATTACTCAAGAACTGTTTTGTTTAACAAGGCTTAATATGTATATCATCACCGATTATGACGTAATATGTCTTTTTAGTCATGTGACATGTGTCCTGTCTCCCCTTAAGTCTACTCAAATCAATTATTTTTTACCCTTGAAACCTTGGAAATTTGACCTAACCAGATATCTCTCTGATTTCAGTGTCTGGTTGATATAGTGACAGTCTTTATGCTGTTACGTATGTTGGACATCAAAAACACAGGCGGAGACGTCAAAGAAGCATTTCCCTGTCACGAAAAACAAAACACAATCCCTCATACCAACAGTGATGTCATTCAAAATGAAGATGATGATGTCAAGGCTGAAAGAGAGAGGGTCAAGGCCATATTTAATAAAAACAATTTAGAGGTAAAGAATTTATAGAAAGGTGTTCATATATTTCAGGATGGACATACTTTATTGTTTCAGTTTACATACACTGGTTTGAAAAAGTATTTTAATTGATCAGGTGGAATACATGTATATCTGTCAACAATTAAGTATTTTTAAAATTGCTGTAAACCAACTTTTATTTGCTTGCGAGAAATTTTCGTGATGTTCGCGGGAACTCTGTCATCACAAATATTTCTCGCTGTGAACCGGTCCTTAAAGTCTATGTGCCTATTAACAACAGATCCAAAATAGGCTTGATTGCGAAAATTTATCTTTGCAAACTAGTTTATCCCAGGCTAATCACGAAATAAAGTTGTGCAAATAAAAGCTGGTTTACAGTAATACAAGGTTAATTTGATGCAAATAAAAGTTAAAGCAATTTTTTGACTCCTGCATGGAAATGAAATCCAATTAAAGTATAAAGATATTGCTTTGTCATATGTTATATTTTGTATTTGTAGGGCCCAGTGGCAATTGCTGAAAATCTGAGGAAAGAATTTGAGAAAAACAAAAGCAAACGGACTTGTTGTGGCAAAGGTGAAAAAGAAATAAAAACGGCAGTTAGGAATGTGTCCTTTGCGGTGGATGAAGGAGAGGTATTTGGACTTCTAGGACCAAATGGTGCCGGCAAAACAACTCTGCTAAACATGATGGTAGCAGAGATGGGACCAACTAAAGGACGGGTAAGGAACATATTCGACAGCATTATTTTCAGTTGTATTTTTTGGGGGATGGGAGCAAGTCTTTAAATTATGAAGTATATGTGATGAATTTCTTGAAGATTGCTTAGCATACATGTATCAAGCAAATTGTAGAATTTGTATGATTTCTCTAGACAAATTTTTAGTCTTTTATTTTTTTAAAATTTTTTCTATAGGTTGTAGTAGGAGGCTATGATATTCAGTCATGCATGTCAGAAGCCTTCCAGGCCATGGGCTACTGCCCCCAGCACGACGCCCTGGAGGAGCTAATGACCCTGAAGGAGCATCTGATCCTGTACGCCACCATCAGGGGGGTGCAGGAGGGTAAAGTCAATGATATTGCTGACTGGTAAGAACCAGGATTGTGATCTTGGGCATTATTACTGTAGATTCCTAAATATACATGAGGTATTAATTATCACGTAAAAATTTCATGCAATAAAAAGAAGCATCACAAGGAATTAATTTTACATGGCCTTAATTATCACGTAATTTCATGAGAAGCATCACTCAGGAAATAAAATTCCTTGTTTTTATCTTTATGGTGCTGAAATCAATGTAAAATCTCTTGATCAATGGTCCACTTGCGAATTAATGTTTTCACAGTTTGACATTTGACATTTAGACCCATTTCTCGAATATTAATATTCATGAAAAATACAGAATCTACAGTATCTAACATATATAATATGTCCGCCATGATGAATTTTGTCTGAGTGAATGATTTGATTTTACAGGTTTATTGATCAGCTGAAGGTCCAGGAACATGCCAACAAACGTTCTAAGAAGCTGTCAGGGGGGACTAAGAGAAAGGTAAGGCAACAGGGGAGAGAGATATTCTATTTTTTCTGGATCAATCACAGTGTGAATTAGACCATGTAAACCATTTAAAATATTCTTAAGAATTATTGAGCCATTTAATGCAAGTGAAAGCACTCAAGTGTGGTTACAATTTGGATCAAGGGTTGGCAGTGTAGAAAAAAGAACAAATTTTTAGAAAACTTGAATTCTCCAGATTGTAGGAGCTACAATCAAGCCAACTTGCAAGCACTTGATCATATATACAAATATGAACTAATCACATTCCCTGGGGGATGGGGGTGGAGGTAGAATAGGTCAAAATATGGGAGTCAAAGGTGTACATGGCAGTATACAGGAATATTTGACCACCAGCCCAAATCAAAATTGTTATCCATCCATTTAAATCTTTATTTTTACAGCTGAGTTATGCTATCAGCATGCTGGGAAAACCAAAGATAGTATTACTTGATGAACCTTCAACTGGAATGGATCCTGCTTCTAAAAGATTCCTTTGGTAGGCTTACTATTTCTTTCTATCTATTTGAAGTCATGTACCAGAATGATTCAAGTATCATTCACTTAATCTATTTGTAATATTTATAAAAATCATCTTTAGACATAATAATTAAAACAATACCTATCTTACAGAGAAACATGGAACTTAGAAGTTTGTTTATAAATGATCAAAAAATTAACAAAATTTAAAATGTAAGAACTTGAGAAAATATTACATTTAATAAAAAGGTGATTGCCCAAAAGAATTATTAGATGACCATCTGTGCCTGTAGGACAGTTGTCTAAGAATTTAAATGTGGTCAGGTATATTCATTTAATGGTGCCAAAATTCCTAAGAGCACCTGCCCAAAATTCAAATGGTTAAGGTTCACTGATATCTTGTTTTGATTGGAACAGTAGCCAAGAAAATGTGGTAATTTTTATAGGGACACTATCAGTAGCAGTTTCCAGAACAGAGAGAGGGGATCCATTCTAACAACTCACTACATGGAGGAAGCAGACGCTCTGTGCTCACGTGTGGGAATCATGGTCAATGGAAAGCTTGAGTGAGTGAGAGAATGTTATAAACAATTGAATCTTTTATTTAAAGGACTTGTTCTTAAAAGAAAATCTTTGAAGATTATGTTTCATTGTATTATAAATCAACACTAAGAATATTTTTTGGCTTAGGGTTAGTAAGAGATAGGGATAAGCTGCAAGGGATAAGGTTAGAGTTTGGGATAGGGTTAGAGCTAGGGTTAGCATTATCATTAGGGTAAGGGTTAGCTTAGGCTTAGGGATAGGGTAAGAATTAGAGCTAGGGCTAAGTTTAGGGTTAGAATAAGAGTTAAGGATAAGCTGCAAGGGTTATGGTTAGGGCTAGTATTAGAGTTAGAATTTAGAGAATTAGGGTTAGCTTAGGGTTAGGGTTACAATAAGAGTTAGGGATACACTGCAAGGGTTAGAGTTAGGGCTAGGGTAACAGTTAGAGCTGGGGTTAGCATTATCATAAGGTTAAGGATTAGCTAAGGGTTAGAATAAGAGTTAAGGTTAAGATGAAAGGGTTAGAGCTGGAGTTAGGTTTAGAGTTAGAGCTAAGGTTAGGGTTAGAGTTTGAGCTAAGACAAAGGTTAGGATTAACATTAGGGTTAGGGTTACAATAAGAGTTAGGGATAAGCTGCAAGGGTTAGGGTTAGAGTTGTGGTTAGAGTTAGAGCTAGGGTTAGGGTTAGAGTTTGAGCTAAGACTAAGGTTAGGGTTAGAGTTAGAATAAGAAATAGGGTTAAGCTGCAATGGTTATGGTTAGGGCTAGTGTTAGAATTAGAGCTAGGGTTAGGGTAAGCTTAGGTTTGAGTTAGAATAAGAGTTAGAGATAAGCTGCAAGGGTTAGAGTTAGAGCTAGGGTTAGCATTATCATTAGGGTTAGGGTTAGAATAAGAGTTAGGGTTCAATTGTTAGGGTTAGAGTTATGCTTAGGGCTAGGGTTAGGGATAGGCTGCTAGGGTGAGTGTTAGGGTTAGCCTAAGGGTTAGAGTTAATGCTAGGGTTAATTTTATTGAAAGGTTAGGGTTATAGCTAGAGTAAGGGTTAAACTGCAAGGGTTAGGGTTTGAGTTAGGGTTAGGGTTAGGCTGCTAGGATTAGGGCCAGGTTTAGGGTTAGAAACTGCTATTTAAAGGCGAACAAAAAAAGCAGTAGAGTTAGGGTTGGCTTAGAGTTAGGCTTAGAATTAGAGTTAGGGATAGGGTTAGAGTAAGAGCTAGGGTTAGCATTATCATTAGGTTAGGGTTAGGGCTTGGGCTAAATTTAGAGCTAGGGTTAGTGTTAGCTTAGGGTTAGAGTTAGAATAAAAGTTAGGGTTAAGCTGCAAGGGTTAGGGTTAGGCTGCTAGGGCTAGGGTTAGGGTTAAGCTGCTTGGGTTAGGGATAGAGTTAGGGTTAGGCTGCTAGGGTTAGAGTTATGGTTAGGAACTGCTATTTAATGACAAACGGAAAAAAACCCGACACTGGCAGATGATCAGATAACATAAAAACTGATATATTGAATGCATGTTTATGTAATTATTATAGCATAATGCAGCATAGTGATTTAAACAAAGAGCTGTAGAAGTGATATTCTAAATCGACTATTTTACTTTTTAGATGCCTTGGACCTACACAACACCTGAAGAATAAATTTGGAAGTGGATACATACTAGAAGTGAAGCTGAAGGCCGGGGCAGCTAACGAGTCGACAGAGTCAGTGGATCAGAGAATGGACACTCTGGAGGAGTATGTCTTCACCATGTTTCCTGACGCCATAATCGTGGAGAGGTTTGGATTGAGAGCTCAGTACAAAGTGCCCAAGAACAACGTCAGATCTCTAGCTCACGTCTTCTCCTCCCTGGAGGAAGGTAAGCTATGGAGTTTAATTCATTGAATCTTCTTTTTCTTTTGTTTCAAGTTAAAATACAACGTTTGTCCTTAAAAGCCATTGGTAAGCTATGAAGTTAAATTCATTGAACCTTCTTGTTTTTCATTTGCATCAAGTTAAATTCAAGATTTGTTGTTACATGCTTATTTCTTTTTTCAGGCAAGAGAACACATGACATGGAGGAGTATAATTTCAGCCAATCTTCTCTGGAGCAGATAGGTGTGATTAGAAGGGAGATAATTTATATCAAATTAATATTAAGGGATGAAGTGTATAAATGCATTTGTTCTAGTGGGAATTTTCTCTTCAAAAATCATGAATATGTACACTGTACTACTGTAGTTCAGGGGTTTTAGTGCTAGGGCAGG